AAAGGGGGGGGGGGGTCTGTCGCTGTGCCCTCAGGGCCACCATTCTGATGGGCCTAATGGAGCCCGAGGATAGCCCCCAAAAGAGCCCTGGGTCCCTGCATTCAAGGAGGTGTCGCTGCTTTGCGTTCCTGCGGCTCCGGCTGTGTGACTATGTGATTGTCCAGCCATGCCCCATCAAGGCACCGCTAGGACCAGGATAGGGGGCTGGGAAGTGGCAAGGCCCAGTTAGGTTGGTGGGCATATTCACTCTGCTCCCCACCTCAGTGTAAAAGCAGGGAGCTGCGGGCCATGTGTGGCTCTTAGGAGCCCCTCCCCACCCCTGCCTTGGGAAAGGCTCCCAGTGCCCCTGTGGGGTTTTCTTTGTAATTTTCTGGGTTTCCTGACCTTTTAGCAATGACCACGTATGGCTGATCCTTCCGGTAAAGCAATACGTGCCATTTCCTCTAAGCCCTGTCCGTAACTCCTTTGCTGTATCTGGGTGTCAGGCCTGAGACAGCGTGGGGGACTTTTCTTTCCTTAGGCCTTGCTGAAACTTTGAGTCTTCTGGGGCACTTGAAGATACGATGCCCACTCTCAGGGGGTTGGGCCTCAGGTGATTGTAATGGGGAGCCAGAGCCGAGAATCACTGGGCTGAGAGATGGGGCTGTAATGGAAGTCTGGGACGGAAAACCCTGGAGCCCACATATCCTCCTCCTGAGTGCTGGAGGGTCCGGTATGTTCTCCTTGAGATCAGGCTGGTGGCCATGCCAACTGGTGGCTCTGGGCCTTGAGCAGCCTATTGGCCCCCGGGAAGCCCCAGCACAGGAGATCCGCCCTGTACGCATCCCAGTCATTCCGAGGACTCTGCCCCAAGCCCCCAGTGCATCCCCCATCCATCAGCTCAACAGGCTGTCTTCCTAGGTTGGCTTTTCCCGGCTACTCCTCCCCTCCCCTCCTTGTCTTCCTGCCCATTGTTTGGTCCTAGAATATGTGCTCAAACAAGAAAACATCAGGAGGAAAATCTCAGCCTGCCCACGTCCCAAATAAGTGACCCTTGATGACGTATGATTCCTTCCCCCCATCCAGAGGATCTACGGACATTCGCGGGGGCACCTCAGCTTCAGGGGCTGCCATTACTCTCAGCTATTTGTGTGTTTGGCTGTACACGGAGGTGGGAAGCAGTTGTGGGTACGGGGGCGATGCCAGAGAGGGCAAGAGGAGGGAAAGCTGGGGTGACTTCTCTGGCCGGACAGTTTCCCCACTGGACAGGGCACGGGGGGGGGGGGGGGGGGG